AGAAATGACCCAAGCCTTGTATGCATATATGAATAATAAAATAAAAAAAATGAAACTCCCTTAAACTATATAATTTTATTTAGTTATCATTTATTTACTTATTTATTTTTATGGTGCTGGAGATTAAACTCAGGGCCTACTACATGCAAGGCAAGTGCTATATTACTGAGTACACCCCCAGCTGAAACTGTTCCATCAATAATAATATGACACTCTTATTTTCTATTCCACTCTGCAACATTCATTCATCTCTTTTTTTTTGTAGTACTGTCGATTGAACTTAGTACCTCATGCTTGCTAAACAAGCTCTCTATTACTTGAACCATATTCCCAGTCCTTTTGCTTTTAGTTTTCTTTTCAGATAGTATCTCACACTTTCACCTAGGCAGCCTCAGACCATAATCCTCCTACCTCTGCCTCCCAAGTAGCTGAGATTACAAGCATGTACCACCACATCCAACTTATCCATTTTCTTCATCCATTCCATTTAAAAATGATTTCCTACTACAGTAACCATTTGGCTACCTGGCATGCCTAGGGAGGTAGTTCAATGCATCTTTCCTTTAACTGAAGAGTTAGCTTTATAAATCAACACTGCTAAGGAAAATGAAGCATGAAGCCTAAGTTAGGAAACCTATTGATAGGAACACACAACTATATGAATTGATAGTAATTATGCATTTTAAATATTACTAAAAGCACTTGAAGTAAGTATCACACATTCTTTTAAAATAACAAACTCCACAAATGTCTGAGGATTTTAACTAACCAGGACAAACTCAGGATTCTCATTCCTCCCCATCTTTGCATTTATACGGTAAGAAGTGTCTCTACCTTACACTCTATGTATCCCATTCCCTGGGAAGGGAGAAGGCAGTCTTTGAGTTACAGGAAACCTACCCAGTCACTTTTTAATAACTATGCCTAATTTAGTAAATGGCAGAAAACCTAACCAGTCTATTGAGCCATTTTTTTAAAACAACTATAGTTCCCTATTCCAATTTTTATAATGTGTGAAAGCTTTGATATATTTAAAGCAAAGATTCTCCTGTTACTGAAAATCTTCAGGCACCCTTGGGTTACAAGATGGGTAGCAATTTGTCAGGAGACACTAAAGACAATTAAATAGTTAAGGTGAAGTGAATGGATCAGTTCCATTTCAGTTTACTTTAACAATACCTGTTTTAAGTTCAATAAACAGATTCACACCAAACAAATATTTTCTGTATAACCACTCTGTACTTAGAACTATTGTTAGACATTTTTCATGTATGTTGCTAATAGTAAGTTTACTAATTAATAGAAAAATCTTCAAAACCCTCTTTCATTGAGATGGACCTAATTACATGCAAAAGGGAATTTACCACACCTTTAAGCCAATCACTTAACTATCATTTCTGTTTGGAGAAAACGGAACAGCAAAGCAAAGTTGTCATTGGCCTGGAAGGATATCTATTTTTACTACAGAGTGGACTGCATGAGTAGGAAAACTAGGATATGCTTCACATGCTCAAGAGTATCTTCCTGTTAGGGTGGACTAATAGCTACCACAGAAAGGAGAACCAGCAAAAAGATTCAGCAAATGAATGACTAGATAGAGATCTTGTTCTTCCTTGCTTCTCCTTGGCTTTCCTTGTCAGAAATTTGTAATATCCTTTAATGCCACATTTCCTCACGTGAAGTTTTTTTTTTTTTATTCATATGTGCATACAAGGCTTGGGTCATTTCTATAAATGTTCTGTAGACATCAATTAGGTCCATTTGATCTATTGCATATTTTAGATCTTGGATTTCTTTATTGATTTTTGTTTGGATGACCTATCTATTGATGATAATGGGGTGTTAAAGTCTCCCACAACCATAGTGTTGGCGTTTATATATGCTTTTAGGTCTTTCAGGGTATGTTTGATGAAATTGGGTGCGTTGACATTGGGTGCATACAGATTGATGATTATTATTTCCTTTTGGTCTATTTCCCCTTTTATTAGTATGGAATGTCCTTCTTTATCTCGTTTGATCAATGTAGGTTTGAAGTCTACTTTGTCAGAGATAAGTATTGGTACTCCTGCCTGTTTTCGGGGGCCATTGGCTTGGTAAATCTTCTTCCAGCCTTTCATCCTAAGCCTATGCTTATTTCTGTCATTGAGATGAGTCTCCTGTAAGCAACAAATTGTTGGATCTTCCTTTTTAATCCATTTCGTGCCTTTTGATGGGTGAATTAAGTCCGTTAACATTAAGTGTTAGTACTGATAGGTATGTGGTGATTCCTGTCATTTAGTTGTCTTAGTTGTTTGAAGGTTTGATTGTGTGTACCTAAGTTGAGGTTACTCTCTACTTTCTTGCTTTTTCTTTTCCTGTAGTTTGGTGCTGCCTGCCCTTCATGGTTATGTTGGGTTTCACTTTCTGTGTGCGGAATCCCTTGAAGAATCTTTTGTAGTGGTGGCTTTGTGGTCACATATTGTTTTAGTTTCTGCTTCTCATGGAAGACTTTCATTGCTCCATCTATTTTGAATGATAGCTTTGCTGGGTAGAGGATCCTGGGGTTGTAGTTATTTTCATTCAGTGCCCGGAAGATCTCACCCCATGCTCTTCTTGCTTTTAATGTTTCTGTTGAGAAGTCTGCTGTGATTTTGATGGGTTTACCTTTGTATGTTACTTGTTTTTTCTCTCTTACAGCCTTCAATGTTCTTCCCTTAGTTTCTGAACTTGTTGTTTTAATGATGATATGTTCACATGAAGTTTTAGTATTTCTTCTATTTGGCATTGTACTTATACTCCTTACCTTTGTCATTTTTTCTTGGCTCATGCATGCATGTGGAGAGCGAATGTGGTGTGTTTGTATTTGGGTATGTGTGGGGGTTAGGTGGGGGAAGGGTGTGTGTGGTTATGAGGGGTCACCTTTCTTTCCCCTATCAATGATACAGGACTTTTGTCATTTAAGCAGCCTTGTTTTTAGACTGTGGATGTGAGCCTCAGGTGAAGGATGAAGGTTAAGTTGGCACATACACTCTTCCTGTGCTGGGAGTGTGCAGGGTGCATACGGAACTTTTACAGTGCTAATCTGGTACCAATGTAACTCCTTTGATGCCAGAAGTCCCTAAAGGAAGTAAGGAACATTACGTGGCATCCCCAAGCAAAGTTATCAACAGCTGCTCCCTGGGGCTTCTGGATAATGGCTGGTTGTCACTTGGGGACAGTTACTACGGTAAGAAGGGAGCTAAATTTAGAGAGGTTTAAAGATATAAAAAGTGAAAGACACCCTTACCAGTCTGCAAAGAGTGTAAGAGTTTAAGTATTTTAAAACTCTCTAAAATATCATTTAAAGAGTTTTCGTCTTTAAATGATACTTGAGATGTTCCATTGTAACGGTTTGTCCCTAGATTGTAATCAAGTTTCTTAATGACAATGTGACTCAGGTTTATTTTAATTTTTATTCATTTCTAGTATACTACCAGGGGACCCAAGGGAGCTTTTATGAAGGGAGGAGAGATTGGAACCATTGAAAGATTCATTAGTAAAATCTCCTAGTATTAAATCAGCCATATTCAGACTATAAAAATCAACACACTCCAAAGACAAACATGAGTTGGATAATCTAGTACTCTGCTTTAACCAGTTGGTCCATTTCCACTTGTGGAAATAACCAAGTGTTGTCTATACTCAGGAATACCAGACAGCAGGAAGTGAACTAAGAGAGTCAGAATGTGGTGGCAAAGAAAAAAGAGTCAAACTAAAAACAGATCAAATACACCAGGAAATGGAAAAAACAAATCATTTTCCCCACTTTTTTCCCTTAGTTCTTCTAGCAGAAATTAAATCTTTTTTATTGCCAGGTCCAACTGAGAAAATAATTTATGTAGGGGATTGATTGCCAATTTAAGACAAATAGTATAATATTTAGTTTTTGTTTAAGTTTCACCCCAACCACGACTGTGCTTCATAGGCCAATAAGGAAAGCTTTAGCTATCCTTGGGTTCAACTGTGTTCAGAGGCAATGTACAAATTTCTCTAAATGTCTGTTAATATCACATTTCACAAAAGTAAAAGAAAAGCTAAGACTACTCATAACTAACATACTTAAATAAATCCCATTGTCCTTTGTGAATAAGAATTGAAACTAGATGATGTGATTGAAAACTAAAAAATTTATTATTTATTTTAAATTTCAGGAACTACTTTCTGTCAAGTTTTTATTATAATTTATGTAAGTTTAACAAGTCAACAGTTTGGCTAGCAGGGTCAGCATATCTGGCAGAGCCAGGATTGAGGATTCAGCTGGCTCACTGTACATGTGGTGAGGCCAGGGCAAGGATTCCACCAGGATCATTGGACGGGGGTCAGTGTCCTGCAGGCTCAAGATCTAGGCAGTTGCCCGTTGGGGAAACTAGTTACATACAGGAGAACTAAGAAATATGCTGAGAATAACAGAAACCATGTTTCTCCTTTCTGCAGAACAGAAATAAAACATGGAAGAGTAAAAGGTAAAATAAGCCCCTTGATGTTGGACTGAAATGAGACAGCAATATGAACTTATGATATTCAATGTAGAAAAAGACACAGATATTCAGCCATCCCTCAGTATCCACAGGGGATTTGTTCTAGAATCCCCCACACCTGCTGTAGATACTCAAATCCATTGATGCTCAAGTCTCTTACATAAAATGGACAGTATTTATATATGATCTGTGTACCTCCTCCCATATACTTTAAATCATCTATAAATTACTTATATTACCTACTACAATGCCTACAAGTCACTTCATTTGCATGTGTTTGACATACTATAAATTCAAGTTTTGCTTTTTGGAATTTTCTGGAGTTTCTTTTTCTCAAATACTTTGTGATTGGTTGAATCTGTAGATGTATAATGTGCAGATACACAGGATTGACTGGTGGGTGTGTGTGTGTGTGTGTGTACACGCACGTGTGCAAACATCTCCCTGCCTGCTCCCTAGCTGTGTATGCTGAGAAAGCTTAAGGGTAAGGAGCAACAACCATACCTGCCACCCAGATCTTGATTTCCAGGTGCCACACTAAGAGGAACCATGTTGATTTGGAGAAATAGCTGATTCCATAACTGGGACAGGTAGAGTACAAGATGAGTCTGGAGTATCCTAATGAGCCAGAAAATGAGTCTTGAAGAATGACAGAGACACGTCAAAGATACTGCAGTCATCTGAAAGGAGCTTTTAATATCCAAATCTGGAATAGTTAAGCTTATTGGGGAAAATTAAGAGAATGAATTTTTTTGTGATCTATTCTTATTTGTCTGTGGTGCTGGGGATCAAACCCAGGACCTCATGCATGCCAGGCAAGTACTCTACCCTCCATTCATATTAAATTTTGTTCTCTGTTCTAGCTGTTCAGCTTTTATCCTAACCAGCCTTCTAGGAGACGTGTACCATTGATTACAAGGAAGATCAGACCAAATGGTAGTGAACTGAACAAATCTGCTACCACAATCTTACACCTGTGGTCTGCTGACAGTATGATTGTTTAAAGTGCTTAATATATAGATGCCCACATATCAGCCCATAGGTATATATTTTGCTAATAAAGTCCTTCTTTGGATACAGAGAAACAACATATTTGTTTAGGCTTTGAGTGCTTTATGATGACAGGGCACTAATAATTGGATGCAGATACAAATTGTTTCAGTTGTTAATGAATGCAAAATATATTTTTTTAAAATTAAGAAAAAAATAAATTTTCTTAATCGGCTAGAGGAAAATATTGTTTTCTGGGAAATAACTCATAAAACGTGGTATCAATTAGGCTGGCCTTAAATTTTTCCTTTCCTCAAATTCTGACTAAAAGATAAATCACTTAGAGAAGAAAAATCTTTCTCATTGTTGAAAATCTGTGGTTGAAAGTTAGCTGTGACTTTTTAAAATAATTTTCAGATTGGAAGTTTCATACTTAAAAGGTATGAGGACATTTGAAAAAACTCTCGAATATCCTTCATTCGGATGATACCCAATTGTTTTCATTCTGACATATATGTATGTGTATATATTTATACACCTATTTTACTTATATAGATTTAATAATCTAAATATAGATTAAAATAATCTATTTCTGAGATCAACAATTTATTTCAACCATAGAATTATATATCATTTAGATCTTCAAATGATGTATAATTCAAGTTGCAAAAGATAACTGATGGGTTAGAAAAACCAAAGGCTTTGTTTTGGCTTGCATTTACATTGTTTGGTATATCATACTATCACACAGTAATCAAACTAAGATGTCTATGGAAGCCAGGTAGAATACATCTATGAAAGCCTGGAAACCAGACAGATAAGTGAAATAGACAGGAAGTCAGTCAAGAGGGGCATGGCAGGGTGCTGAAAAGTATGTGCCCTGTATAAAGCAAGCAGCGGTTACTCTGGCAGAAGGTTCACATTTTGAAATGTGGATGATTTGTGCCAGAACTTCTCTCTTTTTAACAGAAGCTGGAAACATAGATTTTTAAAGGATGTTATTCTATTTTAAAATGGGACTAAATTTTAAAGAAGATAAAACTAGTTTGGGCATTAAAAAGACATCTACAGCTTGCATACAACCCACTACCAGCTGACAGGTGTAATAACAATTCCCATTTAATTTCTGGTGATGACTCATCAGAGTTCTAAGGCCATAAACAGGTAATACACCCTGTGCAAAACAATGAGAAAATGACCCTACCCCAAGGATCCTGCGGTCAATTCTCTTGCAAAGGAAGTGATACAACATAAACTACATTCTGCTGGCAAGGACTGAATCCATATTACAAAACAACATCTGCAAAACAGAGCTCTTAAAGGAACTTTACGGAATATTCCCTCTTATAAAGGATCTCCTTCAAACACAATAATCACCAGGAAATTTGAGATGATTCAAAAGAACAAAGACTTTTGGTTTTAAATTTTTTAAATTTAATATTTTCTGAAAATCAGTGCAAGCAAGGAAGTTCCCTTTGCATTCAAAGGCTGATAAGATTTATGTAGTAATATCAGTACTAAATGGTATGACTAATGTTTAAGTTTACTTTGGGGTTTACAGAAAGATTATATAGTTACTAATAAAATCTGTTTAAATTTGTAAACATTTTATCCTCCTTTAAGAAATATTTCAAAGCCTTCTCCACAGAGCTTTTTTTGGCATTGCAAGCCTAAAGTGATCTCTTCCCCCTCCAATGAACTTTCAGGACAATTTCTCTACGACTTACCTGCTAGTTAATTGGATGTTGCCCCCAGGAACTCTTCCATTGCTCTTTTAAGCTATTAAATGTTTTACATTTATTTATAGTATATTCTGCAATATTCCATAGACTAATGTTACTTTAGGTGTTCTGTCTGCAAATTGTTGCTTGGTCTATGTTAAGTACAGAAATAAGAGTATTAAAGATTTTTAGGCAATTTGACATTACTCTGACAGTCATAAGATTAGTGGATTCATTTCATTCAAGTAAGCATAGAACAGAATCCTAACTGTTTGGATTCTGTCAAACCTATACACTAAGGTTGCATGAGGAGGTTGTGTGTGACACAAACTGGGTATTCATCATACACAGCAGCACCATGTTGCAAGGGATAATATTTAAGGATAGTATATAAACTCTAACTCAAAAGTGCACAAGGATCGAGAAAATATAAGCATTCCTTTTGTTTATAATCACTTTAATTCTTAATAAATCCTACTTTTAAATTTAGAGTTTAGCATTATTAGCTAAATTAGGTGTCATGATCTTAATGTGTCCCCCCATATTTATATGTTGAAACATAATCTGTAATGTATTAAGAGGTGGGGCCTTTCCAAGGTGATTAGGTTATGAGGGCTCCACCCTCATGAATGGGATTAGTGCCCTTATAAAAGAGGCCTGAAGGAGTTTGTTTACCCTGACTACTATGTGAGGACACAGCAGGAATGCAGCTTCTATCATGAAAAACCCTTCATCAAGATAAGTCTGCCAATCCCTAGGACTTCCGGCCTCCAGAGCCCTGAGCAGTAAATTTCTGTTATTTATAAAATATCCAGTCTAAGGTATTATGTTATAGCAGTCTGAACAGACTAAGACATTAGTGAAGTAAAATGTATAGTATTTATTTTTAATCCCCATTTAAGTTCATGCAAAATCCTTTGCAAAACAAGTTTCATAGAGTCGTCTGTGTTGAAAAGATGTATCTTTTCTGAATGTGCAGGCACAACCAAATTATGATGGTAGAAACAGATGCAGAGTGTTTTAAGGACCAAGAGTTTTAAGAGGTTTTACTCAGAGGCATGATTTCCTTATATACTGAGCCTATTTTGGGAGCCAAAACTGGTAGTGAAGTGTGTTATTTGCAGAAAGATGATTAACAAAGAAGCAATAAAACCATCAAAATTGGACAGCACTGACATGTAAAACATAAAGAAATACATTCAGAACAAAAAGAATTTTTTGAAGAAAAAAACCTACTAACTTAAAAAAGCTGACATTTACAGGACAGTCTAATCATGATCACTGCAGCTTGAAGGACATTAAGTTTAGGGTGGACTGGCCTAGAGCAGCATCAGCCTTGGACTTGATTTCTGAAAGAGCCTGAGCCAAGGCTACTGCTCTTACCTGGGGCTTCAGAGACTGTCACTCATAGACACAGGACCTCAAACCATGGTTATCTTCAGATTACATACAACCTCAGGAATTAAAATCACCTCTGGAGACTGGGGGTATGGCTCAGTTGTAGAGTAGTTGCCTAGCATGCAAAGGGGTTTAATCCCCAGAACTGCCAGAAACAAAGAAAGAAATAAGCAAACAAGAAAAAGTTTTCTGGGGTTTAATGAGAGGTAGCAATTCATGATTATAAATTAACCTTACCCTACCGTACCTACAGTGTTATGCTGTTTGTTTATATGATTAAAGTTCAAATGTATTTTTATGTATATTTAATATATACCCCATTAGAATGCCTGGCTTTGTAGAAAAAGTACATTAACCTGTAAAAGTAAGCCTTCATGTTTTGTGTCTTAAAGAGATTAATATACTTTTTAATATTTCTCTTAGGAGCAAGGATTATGTCATCTGTTTCTGTGTTTTTATAGCTCAAAGGGTATTTGGCTTTCCAAGGCAATGCTAGTCAGTTCTTTACTTGTTCACTATGAATGAATTACTTATTTCTTTGCCTGCCCTTTAGTTCCAGCATATTCAGGAAAGGAGTGGTGCAGAGTAAATGGCGAATGGCATTTCCTATTTTACAAAACTGGCAACATATAAGGCTTAACTAACATAAGGAAGTACAAATATGCATATTTTGTAATTCTCTCTGCTCTGTACATATATACACACAATCATAGTAAGACTATAAGCTAACTTTATCTAAGATAAATTAACAGTTGAATAATTTGGATTTCTCAAGATTGACTTTATTTTCATGGAGGATATCAGAGTCAATTTAAAGCAGAATTTAAAAACCCATTAAAAATTAATAATTCTATTTTAACATGTATTAATAGAAGATAAAGCCTACACTATAATATTTAAGACAGCTTAAGCATTTTACTGTTAGGTTGAAAATATTTTTTAATGGTAAAAATATTCAAACAGGATAACTTTAGTCACCACTCTACAAATTCCTACTGTTAACAACTTCTCATATCCTTCTAGAAAACTTTATGTGCTTATAACCTCATATGTATATATATTAAGATAAAATGATATATAGGAGGTAAAAATATTATATTTCATATTATATATAACATATCCTTCATATGTATAAAAGACATGTTATATGATATATAACATATGATACAATCTGGTCTATATGTTGTTTTTCACTCAGTGGGCCTTAAATACTCATGGTAAACACAGTGCTATGTTCTCCAATCTTCTACCATCCCTTGCATTAGGCAGGGGCATGCATTAGTTTTGGCTAACAGGCTATGGGGTACAGGGATCTGGCCAAAGCACAGAGAAGCTGGCATGCACATGCTGTGATTGAGGAAGCTGTGTTTGGGATGCACAATCACAAAATTGAAGGAGCACTGTGCATGCTCAGCCACCGCCTGGAGAAGCTCCCAGACCCA